CCGCCGCCTAGGGCAGCAGAAAAGCTGGCAGCGCTCCTGAACACGTCTAAGTTTGAAATCCAGATCTGAATTTTGCAGCATGGGCCCAATGCTAATGCAAATCCTGAAGCAATTCTGACCATGCAAAAAATATACTTTAGTTCCAGTGCAGTTTTTAGTTATTTATATACAGTTTGCAGGGCATTAGCCAAATAACGAGATAATAGGAATATAAATATATTCTGTATCAAGGACTCATTCTGCAGTCTTTAGTCAGGTAAACCTCCCACTTAATTGAGTGGGGGTGGGGGTGGAGAGCAAGTGAGTGTGTGTGTGTGTGTGTGTGTGATTTTATTCAGCATGCTAGCATAGCTATGGCTGTGTGCAGAAACCAAGAGGAAGAGACAAACATCTAGCCTGAAAGGCTCAGAAAGTTGTTAGCCATCTGATACACACAATTAACATCACAAACTCTTCCATAACTCATGATCTGCCCAAGATTAATCCTGTATTGATGATTATTCAGAAGTATAAAAATAGCAATCAAAGGACTTCCTGGTTAATTTAAACCAGTCTCCAACTCTCTGAAGGGAATGAAAATACTTTGGATGTGGAAGTAACTGAGTATGAAAAAGATACAAGATTGCTTATATTGAATATGGGAGTTCTTGGCTCAAATAGATTCTCCATGAAGTCTCAGAACATAATCATCAAAATTCTAAATCAATAATAACTGATTTATAATAAAAATCACATTTCAATGCTATCTCCCTGTTTAGTTTCCCTTTACATTTAGGCCAGCTAGTGTGTTTCCCCCAAACCTAGTGAAATTCTGGAAGATTGTGAACCTCCTCATCCAGCTTTATTGCTTTAAATCAGACCTGAAGATGGCTTTTGCTTTGCCAATGAAAATCATGTTAACATTGACAAAGAATGCAAAGATCAATGTTTTATTTAGAACACATTCTTCTGTTACAACTTGTACAGATTATTTCAAATCATGGTCTTTGCTTCTAAATTACAATTTTCATTTGAATAGTCTTTTTGGATAGGAAAAAGGATTTGTTCTCAATACCTAGGTTTCCTGTCAGAGCTACCAAAAATACAGCATGAGCTGTTGAAAAAGCATGATTTCTTATATTAAAGCTATTATTCTGACCTTAGCTCACACATGCAGCACAATACATGCATTTATATCTCATCTTTATGCCCAATTAGATATGGTCGGTAGTAAAAAAAAAAAAATCATCCTGTTTTTCTTTACATAACTAGGTATGTCCTTGTGGCCACTACCACAGTATTGAAAGAATGTTAAATGCAGACAGATACAAAGGAATTAATTATTTTAACCCAGATCACACGTTAAATACTTTAAATTAGCTAAAACAAACAAACAAACACACATCAAATAAAAACCCTCTTTCCAATTGTTTGCAAAAGTACAGTATTAGATAAATTTCTGGATAAAAAATTAATCTGACTGAAAAATTACAGCTGCTTCCTCCAAACCTTGCCAGTTAGGAAGATTTTGAAAGAAATCCCTGTCTGAAACAATAGAAAGGCATTTAATTATATGTGCATTTATTGCTCAGTGTAAGGCAGGTTGTACATCAATCTTCTCATTAGGAAGCTATAATAATATGACTCCTAAGAATTCCTTCCATTAAAAAATATATTCATTATATCAATGAGCTGGGTCAATCCAAGAATGTAAAACCTGAGGATATTTACAAACCGAATAATAAGATGCATCTAGGTTAGATACAAAATATTAAAACACACTTAATTGTTCAAACAATTGTCCACACAAAGGCTCTGTGTTTCAGAAGTTGTAGGCATACAAATGCATGCACAGAAAATAGGCACATATTTATGCACCTAATTTCCATGCACAATTACAACTGAGTGTCCACAAACAGATAATTCTGTGTCTATCTGGTAATTTGCATAGGCAAATAGTTTGCCTAAATAGACTAAGTAGTTGTGCACACAGATTAATTGCACATTTTTGTACATAAATTCATGTAACTTGTCTTTTAGAAACTGGGCCTTTTAAGACTCCTGCCCTGCAAAATAAACTACTACCTCAAGTCAGGCAAAAAACCTGAAAAAAGCAATGGGTCTTATCATGCCCTGAAGATGAACAGATTCAGAAAATGCAATTGTCACATCAAGGACTTCTTTGGGTTTGCAGGAAGACTCCTCAAAACATTTTATGGTTTAGATTACAGTTATCCCATCACAACCATGGTGTATATACAGATAGTATGTGACAATAAGAGGAGATGGTACTACCATGTGTTCTCTTATATGGAAAATCATTGTAAGAGCCTTAGATTTACAGAATTGTTGGTAATAAGATAAGTACATTCTAGATAGATCATATCATACATAGCAGAGGGATATCAAATTTAGTAGATGATTTGAGGGAACAGACAGTACCGAATTTGGCAATCAGAAGAAAAGGACCAGAACAGACTAGTGACATGGGAAGGCAAGTGGCTAATCCATTTCAACATGGAAAAATGTAAGGGACTGAAGATTTGACATAGGGATCATACCTTCAATGTGGTTATATGCCGCAAAAACAGATTTAAAAGACAATTCTGGAGGCCACTATTTAGTAACTAAAACTACATTTACACTAGCAACTGTATGTGCATATATGGACATTGTTGTGTAATCCCCCTACTGTCTGCATATGAACCCCTGAAGCATATGCGTGCAGGCGATTGCACGGCGAAAAAGCTAGCGCACATGAAAGGTGTTGGTATGTGCATGCCTCCACTGAAGCATGGTTCCGTATCCGTGCTATAGTGCAGTATGAGCGGGGGCAAGGTCCTGAGTTTCAGTAGTCCTCCAGGTCCATTCCCACAATGCAATGGATTCTTTCCTGCCTGGCTCTCACCCAATGTCTAAAGATCTGCCCCCCCCCTTATCAGCCATAGTAGCAAGCAATGCTGACCACTTCAGAACAGTTTTCTGCTACACTTTGGTTAGCGCAGGTGAACATGAATCATGTTCCCAGAGCAACCGTCCAGTCCACCGCCAAGGAACTGATAGTCTAGTTTCCATGAGGGTCTCTCCATGGGGAGGTGTGCGGTTGAAAGCCAAACCTTTTTTTTTCCAGAGAGTAGGCAGGAACCTGTTGTCTGCATTAGTCCACATGCCTTTTGTAGTCCTCCTTTGCCTTTCAAAGTGTCTCTTCACCTTCTCTTGGAGATAATGAATGAGTTGGTCCACATCTTCTAGCAGAAGGGAGAGGTAAGTGGCAGCTGCTGTCGCCAAATGTATGAAGGCAGAGGACAGTTTCAGCAACATGCAGCAAGGCGGTTCCTAGAGTGTCTCCTGTGATGCAGGGATATCACCCCTGAAATGGAAGCATTAATGTCGTATACCAACGAAGGGCAGTGTGGACACAGGTATATGTGTGTACCCAGCGTATACCCATGCCCAGCACATATAGCTAGTAGTACACACTCTCAAGTGTGGACATAGCCTAACAGAAAAATGAAACATTTAACACAATGGACCTGCTCCTACTCCCAGTAAAGTCAATGGAAATTTTAGCATGGGTGACAGTTTGAACAGAATTGGCAATAAGCAGCAGTGAAGAAACTCCTAACACTTATTTTACTTTATTACTTGATTTTAATGTTTTATGTATTACATACCAGTTCTGCTCAACTGATATGTTAGCACCTTATGTATAGATCAAAATTTGTATTTGTATCTTTATGTCTTATTATTTGACTGTAATAATAATGTGTTGTATGCATTAGCTATGTGCACGAGCCTTAACAAATAGCTTTCATAAAGGAAAGTTTGTAAGGTTCTTGGATTTGTAAATAGGGGAACTGAGCATAAATCAGCTGAGGATTTTTTGGAAATGTACAAAAATTTTAGCAAGTCTTACGGAACATAACCCTTAGTTGGATGCTATACTGATGAACAGAGACTGAAAAAATAGGAAAGGTACAGTGTAGGGTGACAAAGATGATTAAAAGGCTTAGTGACCAATTCTACTTCAGCATCAAACTGTGAAAGCAATTCCATTGTGGGGAAAGCCACGTAATAACTGATATGATGATATGACCTAGAGATTTCAGTGGAGATATTCCTGAACAGATCTTATATCTCTAGCTGTGATACAATGTTTTGTCATTCAAAATGGCCCCCAAACTTTGGGGGGCCAAATCTTAATAGGGCTCCCTTAACTGGGCCTATGCTATTTAATGGCATAACAATATGCCCATGACAGATAGGTAAATACATGTGCAGATGCTGATTTGAGCTTGTAGTTATTCAAATACCACCTCAGCTTTTGGGAGTGTAATTAGAGAGGTTGGTAGAACATTGAACCAGAGTTTATAAATTACAGAAGTGACATATTTCCCATTAACACACAGTATACATACTGTATGGTGTTTTATGTGCTTACTTACCCATTGAACTTAGTAAAAATATGAACTCTAAACTGTAAGTTTCTAACCTGCATTCCACTATACATACTAAATTTGTGGAGTTTTTATTACAGTAATGAAATAATGTTAATGTTTCCATAAAACTTGGGAGCCTGTATTAGGGTTATACAATGGCTTTTACAACCTTATTATTGTTCAGACATTGATATAATAAGAAAGTGACAGGAAAAAAAAATCCCATAACAAGGCAGCACAGCCAGAAAAGTACACAATCAAATTCTCACTTATGTCATAGAATGTAAATAATAACTGCACTTTAAACTGTCAGGATGGGGAGACGATGCTAGGCAAAATGTGAGTGCGGAGGAGGACAAGAAAGCTGAGGAAGAAGGTGAAGACTGAGATACAGAAGGAGGAGGAGAGGTAAGGGAAATTAGGGGAGACGGTGCTTTATAACCATGTATTATTGGGACTGTGCTCTTCAGGATCAAACTTGAGGAGGATGCAAAAGTCCAAAGTTTACTGAGGCAGTTCCCCACTCCCAGCCACCCAGAGAGGGCTTCCCTGCAACAGTCTTGCCAGGCCCCCAGGCCCATCCCAGGCAGCACACGGAGCCGAATAGTCTTTCGGAGTAAAGCAAAGAAATAGTCCCATTAAGAAAACAAACTCTAGTCCTGTGCCAGACCTACCTTCCCCTGGAAGGGCTCCAGCAGCCAGCAGTCTGTTCAGAGGTTCTTGCCTGGTTCTTTCCTCAGGAAGCAAAGCCTAGAAGGTCTGTTTCCTTCCCTAGTCACACACCTATTGAACTATCTTTTTTAGCTGCCCCTTCATTACCTGACAGCGAGAAGTCTGGTGTAATGGGACAGGGGTGAGTGGGTTCACAGCAGCTTGTTAGCCCTGGCTGGCTCAGTGTGGAGTTGATATACCCCAATTATATTAAATAATGTTCCTCAAAATGCATATAAATTCTGACAATAATTCCACCTTAGCTTCCAATGGCAAGAGCAAAGAGTTTGTGCTGGGCTGTCTTGTTTTTGATCTCACTAGATACTCCTTCAAAGGAATTAGAGTTTTATTGTTAGGCTTGGAAGGATTAGATTGTTATTGGTATAGACTGATACCTATACCATACACATACAAACTGAAGAAAAAAGATTTTCATTGATAACTGTTAGGAGGAGGAGCAGGTTGACCCAGAGGCGGATTGAGTAGATGGAATCCTTTATTGCAGTGCTTGTTCCCCTTGACCCAATTGTCAAGTAAACCCCGAATTAGTTACAGCACACTCTTTTTGTTTGGGTTAGCATGTACATGCCTACATCCATTACAACACCCCAGAAACCCTTATTAAGTAATAGAAACACCCATACTGTTAGTATGCCCACCCCTCTCTATTATTCACAGCATTATGCATTACACATGTCATACAGGCATTTTAACCTTGAAAATACATTTCTTTGCAACAATCTGTTGCCATAAATCTCCCTCATCGGCAGTTTTTAGGGGCAGGAAGAAGGGGCCAGGACCCAGGGCTCGCTTATGTAGCTGGGAAAGGAAGGGAGGAAGAGAAAACACTTCTTTACCCAAAAGGTATCCTTTAGATCCCCACAGTTCTTATACAGCTGCAACACTTCTCAATTCTTAACAAGGAAAAGGGAGGGGAAAGGGGTAACACTATCTATCAAGTGAAAAAAGAGCGCGTGCCTGTGCCTACGTCCTGATACCATGCCAACACACCAGTGGTTTTCCATGTCTTTATTTAACCCTTACATATTCCAACAATAACAAGTGAAATTTACAGACAGGCATAGTAAGGAAAATACTGCTTGAGAACTTAGTAGAATTTGATTTAAGGCCATTTTTACATATGATGTTGACAAGTTTTGCTGTAATGGTTATAAAGCTTTAACTTTTTGAATTAAATAATTATTTTCTGACCCTCAATTTCCCACAACTGTGAAAACTTAAATTGCTAAAAATAGAAAAATGCTTAATTATAAACATTGCTATTATCAAAATTATAAAAAAATAAACATCTAATTCTGCCAAGTCTATTTATGGTGTGCAGTCAGGATCCATTATTCTTTGTGTTATTTATATTCCTCACAAGCTTCTTTTCTCTCCATTCTCTTTTTCATTCTCACTCTCTGTATACGTGTGTGTATAGATAGAATTTGGAAACTCAAAGACAAGCTCTCTGTCACTCCCCAAGGGTGCAACACAATTTGTTATTTCTGTTGAAAAGATGAAGCTAATAACGTTATACTGCGTTCCATGCCATTGAGGGGAGCAAACCCATGCTAAGTCACGAAAAAATGTCATAAAAGCTGAGGAAGACACAGAGCAGAGCCACTATTAGTGTACTCTTGTGAGCCCACCCCAATTTGAGGGCACTCAGTATCTCCACAACACGGGGTTGTGTAGATTATGGGTTTGCTCAACCCAACCCATAATCTGCATAACCCCATGCAGAGAGTGTATGGACTTGGGGCATCTGGTCTAGGCAGTCTATATCCCTAGTGGATTGTCCAGCAGGAATCCATACGATGTTAATACTGCACCTTGGAACGTTTACTTCCAATCTGCTGCTTCTATTTCCCTGAGGAGATATGGTGTGGGGAATAGTTAAGAGGGAGATACCCAGTGGCCAATGGCAAAAAGTCAGTCATGATGCCATGAGTGTGCATATGTGTTGGTAGTGGAGGGGCTGTTCCACAGATGCGTTAGCAGTGAGTGAGCAGATGTCCCAAGATCTGCAGGATTAGGGCCAGGATTCCCCATGGAATTCAAAGGGCCACTCCTTATTTTCTGAGGAGAGAATGGCCCATCTTACACAGAGCTTGAAAGCTGCAGCTGTATTGATGTAGTTTCCCCCTCCTGTGGGTTTTTGAAGAGGAAGGGGGCATATGGCTCCATGTTACTGCATTTAATTAAATAAGCAGCTGCATAGAGTGCAGAGGGATGCTGAGCCCAAACGCAGCTCTTGTGCTGGCAAAGAGAGTTTTGTCCATGTATATCTGATTTGTTTAAGCTCTGTTTTTATGGCGTTCATGCATAAGCATATGTACCCAGGACAACATGCTACGTACAGGCTTGGATGAAATATATTTTTAAGGGGGTAAATAGTGTAGAACGTTCACAATGAAAATGATCTTCCAAATACAAGATGATAATGAACCACCTAAGTCTGTCTCTGGGAAATAAATTAAAACCTGGCCATTGCACTCTACATACTCAATCTCCTCGGCTAAAGTACCTGTCCACTTACCATAGAAACAAACTGGAGTTTCACTTAGTTCACACTATTCTCACTGTTAAGGAAAAAAGGCAAATTTTTGTAGTAAGCAGGAAAAACATATTGGTGATGGCAATGGACAACAAGACACCATTTTTACAATCCAATAGATTTTAGGAAAGGAAACAAAAAAAATGAAGACATGATACACGTATTACAATCCTCCAAGGCCACATCTTCCACTATCCAAGTTCCATCCATTCACCAGTATAACATGCCGGCATTATTAAGAGTAAATAAAATCCGAGCATGACTACCAAAGCAAACCTGCAATTTAACCGTAATCCGGACACAATTAATTCAGTCCTTCATTGACAGCCACCCTCTTCTGTTCTGGACAGTGCGGAGCTGCACAGCACAGGGTTGTTATCTGAAAAGAATAACAACTTGGTACAATGGACATGCACTGGGACAAGATTAATATATTACTCTCTTCCTTTCTTATACCTAGAACATCACTTACACAAGAACCTTGTGAAGTGTCACTCAAATGGCCCTTCCTGAGGTTATGATATCCTGAAATGTACCACAGTACAATGCAATAGCTTTATAATCCACTCATGAAAGACTTTCTGGTACCTTCTCATGTTTCAGCTCCATCAGAAATGACCTCTTACTTATTGGCTGTAAATCCTTGATCTAAGTTCATTTTCAGGACATGCCTCTGAACTTTATTGTCCTTAGTGTTCTCCCTTAAAGGGAAACTGTCAGGTTTAAAGTCATACATTGCTCCTATGTAACAAACATCACTTTAGTTTATGAAAACTGGAAACATTTGTAAAATTCTATGGCAATATTGCCCTCTACTTTGGAAACACGCACATGGGGGCCAGGAAACATAGGCTCAAATTATGCCACCCTTACTCACATTGAGTAGTATCTTACTCTTTGAGTAGTCCCATTGATTATCACTGTTTATTCTACTGATACAGTATTTACAGCAATATATTCAGGGTCAGTCATTTTCAGCCAACAGACTCAGTCCTTTTTATGATATAATTTCTATTTCTTCTTTTTTCAGTCATTCACCCAGGCTGCTCATTAAAGTAGAAAAATCCATAATGGATTCAATGTGTAATGCAAAGATTAGTTCTTAAAATTGACTTTTTTTCTGCCTAAGTCATCAAATATTGCATATACGTGGCTCTAAATTATTTGAAAGTCACATAAAAAAATAAGCTCTTCCTGAAGGTGATATTGTGCAATAATTTTGTTCTTCTGTACACAGTTATGGAGATGATTACACTGAGTTAAGGCATGGTCCATACTATGCAACCTGCAGCTGAATTCAGCAAAGCTTGTTTGACATTCCACGGTGTATGCTGTGGTAACAGTGAGAATGATAATAGCTGAATTTAGCACATTCTCTCTGCTTCTTTATCACCAGTGCAAAATTACTTCAACTTTTAGCTGGTTAAACAAAATAACCAAGATCTTAAAAAACAAACAGAGAAAACAGAAATACCATCATGTGGAAACCTGCTCTCAGGTCCAAGCTGACCTCCAACTTGGGTTCTCTCAGCAAGGTTTGCACCATTAGAGCCACAGCACAGACCTCTACCACTCGAGTTAATGGAGTAACTAGTAGCAGTAGTAGGCTGTTATCCTCTACGTGGCCCAGTCACTAGATGAGACACACACAAACACTTTGCCAGTGGGTTTCACAGTTATTTGCTGTTAACAAATAATGTAGAGACTGAGAACTCCTGGGTTCAAGTCCATGTTTTAGAGAAGAGTGTGTCTACTGGTTATAGATTCTTCTGCCTCTGTACCACTAGCCTGTCTCTATCCCCTTCCGCTCCTATTTGCCCCAGCCTAGCTCCTGTATCCCAGCATACTGCCTCCTGCCCTCCGCTCCTATCCAGATGTCCCACCCCAGAAACTGCCCATCTCCCTCTCTACACCTGTGTACCCCCAGCCACCTCTGATCCTCTCCATACCCTCCCTCAACTCACTTCTGTATCCTTCCCCACCACTGCTACCCCCTGGCTCCTATCCCCCACCCTCGTCTGCTCCTATCCACCCCCCATCCTTGGCTCTTGACATCTTTGCAACCTTAGTGTTCTTTTAGCATAGGTTTCTTTGTTAGATATCAATGATATTTCAAAGCATTGTCATTTACACTAGTGTTTGTGGGTAGTGTGAGTGTTTTCCTTATTCACAGATCTAAAATAGAATAATCTATTTAAGGTATTCCTGCTGCACCAAATGTATAATTAGCTAATTCCTTCAGTCCTTAGTCAAGCAGAACTCCCACTGAAGTTAATAGTTAATGAGTCAATGAGTGATTTTGCCTGATTTGGCTCTAAACGCTGTATATATTGAAATGGAAAGGAAAGTAAGGAGATGCTGTCAGCTTGGATTGCAGCATTTGGATAAAAAATTAAGAATCAAAGTCTTTTCTCAAATTAGAAAGGACATGAACTCTACAGAATAGAATGAACGTACCAACAAAACATACAAATGAGTTCTGAAAAGCTATTTCTATTAATAATGAGCCATCCCTCCACCAGGAAAAGATTTTTAAGTTCTCAGGAAATATCACAGGCTAATAACTAAATCGAATGGACTAAACAAGGAAATGAAGGAACAGACACTGTTCAAGGATCAGCTACAGTAAATGGAAGCAAATGGGAGGTTTTCATAGAAATTATTCTTTAGTCAACTTCTGTTATGAAGGGTCTGTCAAGGGCATAAAGTAAATCAAACACGTCAGGAATAAAAACAACAAATGACATACGTCTGATTCGATGTCTGGCAAAACAAAGCCAAGTATAGCATTTAGTGCAAACAAATACCTACAGAATCTAAGCAATTTAATAACTTGCTTCATGCATTTACAAAGCTAAAATAACACATGCCAGTGATCAAGAATTTAACACTAATAAATCTGTGGCTTCTGGTTGAATCAGATTTGTCGAATAATTGATCTGATGAATATTGTGATTTACTGTGAATAAGGCATTTAATGATTCCCTTTCTCCTCTCCTCCAAATCGTTATTTTATATTATTTTATAGAACTGGGTGAATAATTAGTGAATATATTCATTGAATACTTTATTAGAAATACTTTTGAGAAATCGATCAAACAACACATTTAACGTTTTTCTTTTTGTTATTCTCCCAGCTCTGCTTCACACCACGCTACTCCACTGAGCATTCACAGAACTAAGAGGTACAGGACTCAGATCCGCCTGTTGCAAAAAATACAGGACTCTGCCCCTTGAGCTGATGAAGAATGTCCATTAGCTGAAACAGTCTATGGCCCAGAATTGAGCAGTTCTGCTTCTACCCACTATGGGGCATTCCCAACATCCCCTCCTACCCCCATATACAAACTCCCCAGCCAGATCAATGCATTATTGATATATACAGATGCATAATCTACTAAGAGCCAGGCTTTGAAGCCTATAACTAGCTAAAACTGTTTCTTTATTTTATTGTTGCTTTGTTTTAAATCAGAACAAGTAGTGTGATTTTTAAAATGCATTTTTTTGGGTCAGAGGTTGCCTGTTTTCTGAGCTCCAGCATTGCTGCTCTGTTGTTTCCTGGCTGTCTTTGATTTGCTCGGTTCTTTTGGTATCCATTCAGTAAAGTAGCAGGTCATGACACTAGCTGTTCGTAGGTAGCTGAAGAAAGAGACCAACAAGATTTCTGTAGGCCCCAGATGCCTGCAACATTGTCTCTGCCTGCTGGTGGCCTGAAAATAGTGCAGACACATCTGATTAGCAGAGGCCAAAATCCAGTAGCTGGACTTACAGGGCCAAGTTATAGGGCCTGGGTGTAAGCAAGTACAATTCCATCAAAGTCAGTAGTCAGACCTGCTTGTGCTAGGGCTGTAGTCTGCTAAAGGTGTGTATCACCTGTCTGCAGCTGCAGCTCGGACCCACAGTCAGGAGCCTTGTAGTTCAAGGGTAACAGCCCTTCCAGATGTGCCAGCAGGGAGCCCCTCCTGGCCAAGCTGTGCTAGTAAGCTTGTTTCCTCAAGAAATCTCTTGCCTACATGTCATCCTGTGACTCAGCATCAGTGTCATCATCTCTTTTCTTTGCGTGCTGGGAAGTTCATCTCAAACTGTTTGTGACAAACTGGAAATGATAGACTCCAAGTCAGGCAACACACACAGTACTCTTTCCTCAGCAGGCAACAAGGTTAAGAGTCAGAGCAGAAGCTGGGATATTAGTGATGGTACAGTCCCAAATGAATTACTTAGAAAGATATAACACAATCTTTCAGGATAGTACAAATCAGACTGTAGTACAGGGGTCGGCAACGTTTGGCACGCGGCTCGCCAGGGTAAGCACCCTGGGTAAGGCCAGTTCATTTACCTGCTGACGTGGCAGGTTCGGCCGATCGCAGTCCCACTGGCCGCGGTTCGCCGCCCCGGGCCAATGGGGGCAGCGGGAAGCAGCGCGGCCGAGGGATGTGCTGGCTGCGGCTTCCCGCCGCCCCCGTTGGCACAGGACGGCGAACTGTGGCCAGTGGGGGCCACGATCGGCCGAACCTGCCACGTCAGCAGGTAAATAAACTGGCCCGGCTCGCTAGGGTGCTTACCCTGGCGAGCCGCATGCCAAACGTTGCCGACCTCTGCTGTAGTAGCTAACCTATCAAAGCCCCTGCTCTGGACTGGTGGAGACCTTGTCGTGTTCTTTTTGAAACTCTGCCTTTCACCCAGGAGCCTGATAAAACTGTGTGTCCTTGCAAAAATGAGTCTGATCTGAAGAAAGTACAGCAGAAGAAAGCCCTCTACCCCCAGATGATATAACAAAGGATATTCATTTTTTGTGTGGAATACCCTGCTGATAGAGGACCAACCCGAGAAACAAAAAAACCCTACCTGGAAACAACTCAGATGCCCATAATGTACTGCATTGTGGAACAAACTCTGCCACAGCCTCTCACCCAGATACCCTCAACCATCCTTTCCTTCATGCACTGAGCTATAGGGAGCCACTGCAGTGTGTGCCAGAGGTGTGCACACCCTGCATGGGCTCCCTGCATCTTGCTTCTTGCCCCAGCTGAACTGCAGAATCCCACCAGTCACACTGGCTATCCCATCACGTGGTCAAGGAATTGCCATGTTCCGTGCCCATGGCAGGGTGAGGGCAGAATCCACCATTCATTGAAGCCACTGGGAGTTTTTCCTGACTGAGAAAGAACCTCGGTGTTTGACCCTAAATATTTGTATCACCTGGCCCGTTGTGAATACCATTGGCCTGATTCTATGCTGCATAGCACTTTGTGTAGGCATTTACATTGCTGCAAAGTAAGGGTAATAGGCGACCATATCAGAATGGTGGCACTTTACACTTGGTACCCAAGGTAAATGTCTGCGCACTGTGCAAGACAACGAAGACTCAGGCCCAAACTT